TACAAAACTGTGATAATTTGTGTGCTGTCCTGTCCAAGTCTGCTTTCGGTGAATGGTACGTTGAACAGACCCGTTTTCACAGAGCGAGAGTAGAACATCGAGGAACGCCAACTCTTCGGAAGATTCCATTTCTGGCGTGAATCCTATTTTATGGGCTGTGTTAAATTGGTCCAACAGAATACTGAGACTCATTGAGGAATCGACAACACAGAAGATGTCATTTACATAGCGCCGATATAATACACATTCTTTTATATAGCCAGCTAATACTTCAGTTTCCAATTTCGCCATAAACACATCGGCCGAAAGGAGACCTAAGGGAGATCCCATCGCAATCCCGTCTTTCTAGCGGTACGTCACCTCATTGAACTGGAACCGCACATTATACGTGCATAAGTAGATTAGGTTGCGAAGGTCCTCAATGGATAAACCAATATTCACTCATCTGTACTCAGTCTGATTGCATAGGTAGTCTATGGTCTTTCCAAGACATACGTTAGTGAATAGAGACGCCACATCTAGACAGAACATGTGCTTTCCTGGACATGCACGATTCACCTTGCCACGGAATAGCAAAATGGCTAACTGAAATCTTGGAACCCGTCGAAGTGAATTAGGAACAGGAATTAGGAACAGCCTGAGGGACACCTTTGAATTTGTGGACACTACTGAATCGCCGAACGGTAAAGTGCTTACACACTAATCAAAAAGTTAACTTATCCTTCTCCACCTGTTTTTGTACCGTACGAGGATTTAAAATCTCTTCTTCTGCAGCATGTGAAACCATCGAACTTCGAAGCCTCAGAGAGATCAAAATTTCATTCAAGGTACGCAATCCGAATCAGGGCATCTGTGAATTCATCTTGAATTTACTCAATCAAGCTGCAAAGATTGATTTTGGAAACTTACTGGACATGCAGTTGGGAGATCGACTGATCGCTGGCATTGACAATACTGTTTTGCAAAATGAACTTCTGATGCTATTCAACCTGACTTTCAAATATGTGCGGGCCTATTGTGAACAATATCAGGACATCCGCGCAGCTGCTTCATCCATGCCGTCGATCATTGAATCTACAGCCATGTTAAATTCACTCGAAACTTCCTGCTACTGCCGGACGTTTCAAACCAGTTACATAATCTACCTAACACAATGTGACATATTCGGATAAATCCTATGGCAATTATACATCCTGTGGCAAACGTCATTCCAGATTCACATGTCGATTTTGTTATGCTTCAAGTCTCAAGTGGGACAAAACTAACCATATTCAGTCTGGGTCGCAGTACCAAAATTAAATTGAATTCAAAGACTGAGAAGTGAGTAACACAGCCAAACATTTTCTTCTTTATCTTTGGCAATTACCTCCCATTCCGGTCACATTATTAAACAACTATTCAGTTCCTTTGGTAACTCACTTCATTTTACACTGGTAGTGTGGAATCTCTAATTTCTGCTCACGATTTAAAACTGTTTGCTTCAGATGCTAAACCGCGGCCATCCACTGTCACCATAAATGGCATCACTAAGCATGGAATGCCTGTTGTTGTTTCTTGTGAGATCTCAGTCAGTGATGACCATTCCAAAAGTGTTACCTGTACATTCATCGTAACCAAGTCTGACCCCTCTATACTAGGCTTGAAAGCTATGCAAGCACTAAATGTCAACCTTTTCTTGGTAATCTCTATCGATACTAAAGACAAACTGAATTATTTGCTTATTAAATGCTCATAGGCCAGTGGTGCCATGAAAATTCCCGAGTAAAACTACCAGTCAATGACAATGCAGTTTTCCTCAAACGCCGAGTTATTCTATATGGCCTTCGTGAACCTGTCATGAACGCATTGAACAACTTGTGTTCCAAAGGCGTTATACAGAAGTGGGCGTCTTACGCATGAGGTACACCAACTATCACATTACCCAAGTCGGATGGCAAAAGGATCCGATGGACGAGTGAACATACCG